TTTTACTCTTCTATCCACTTTAATCTAATGGCATAAGAAAATTGGTTGCAATTTTTTCCATGATGGAAGGCATTCTTTTATAATTTATAACACTAATAAGAAATAACTATTTTATTTACTTTCAGTATTTTACCAGGATTGAATTGCCTTCAAAGAAGCTTCCCGTGCAACAGGAACCCTCCACTCTGTAAGCTTCTTTTGCTGCATTGCCTTGAGATAGCTTATACTTGGCATTATGCTATAATCACTGAGAAACTTCAAGAAGAGGGGAAAAGGCATAGACAAATTATCCATTCTTGCTTTCCTAGTATCAATAATTCTGAGCTTGGCCAATTGAAATATGTATGCATCAATGGCAATTTTAAAAAGACATTAACTTCGTCCTGCTAGAACTTGAGAGTCAAAACTTGCTGTTTTTAATCTGTTATAAAAGAACGACTTCAGTATCCTACTGGGTGTGAATTTTTCTTGCTGTAATTTTAATTGTTGTTCTTGAGTAACTTGCCAAGCATATTTAGATATTCATGTTGGCAGATGCAAACTTCTCAATCAAGTGTGGTGGGTCGGAGACGACTGCTGATGGGATAATATATGAGGCTGACACCACTTTTCTCGGCACAGCATCGTTTAATGTAATTGGTTCTGAGAAATGGGCAGTTAGCATTGCGGGTTTTTTTTCTGACACAAAAAAGCAAATCTATGTGCAAAACCGCCAAAACACCTCGGCACAAATGAGAAACACAAACTCCCCACAGCTTTATCAGACTTCGAGGATATCCCCTGGGTCACTCAGATACTATGGCTTAGGCCTAGAGAATGGGCCTTATACAGTTAAGTTGCTTTTTGCAGAAACAGCTTTTGATGATCGAAGCAAACAAACTTGGAAGAGTCTGGGAAGGCGAGTTTTTGATATTTATATTCAAGTAAATTTCTGGATTGCATTTATGGATCATTTTATTCAAGTCCTCAATGTAATAAATGTTTCTAAAATTACGAATTTGCAAACTTAAGTTTTACCTGTTCAGATTTTAATCATAACAAAATTTTCCCAGGGAACCATTGTATTGAAGGATTTTGACATATCGAAAGAGGCAGGTGGAGTTGACATAGCGATCACTAAGAATTTCAATGCTACTGTGACAGAGAACTATCTTGAAATTCTTCTATTATGGACTGGTAAGGGAACATGCTGCATACCAGTACAAGGTTACTATGGATCATCCATTTCAGCAATTAATGTGGAATCAAGTAAGAAATGAGATGACATAAGAATCTTTGTTTGAAATCTTAAGTCATGTCTATCTCTGTCTGCCACTGCTAATGCCTAAAATCTGTTGATCAGATTTCCCACCAACTGTAAGTGGGATTCCCCCACGAACAGAAAAAGAGAATAGGATTGGGTTGATTGTTGCTGTTGCAGTTCCGGTCGGAGTTGTCGCCTTCACCTCGACATTGATATTTGGAGTCTTCTATTTGAGAAGGAGAAAAGATGATGATGAGGAAGGTAAGATTCCTAAAAAGTGCAATAGTAGTTAATTAGTCACAATATTATTTGTAAAACTGATTCATGTTAATATGGTATGGTGGATCTGGCCTCATTGATGCTGGGTGAAGTTCTAGGCTCCCCAAACCAAGTTCTAGGTTAAGCTCTTTCTGATCTTTAGACATAATTATTTTTTTCTTTATTACAAGGGTGGACAAACAGGTTTTTAAAGGAAAAGATATTCTAGTAGTACTTCTGGAAGGTTGGCTAAGAGGATTGATCTCCCTTGATGGAGGGAGAAAATGATTTTTTTTTTTTTCAAGTTCTTTGACAATGTTGCTGCTCTATCTTGGGGCGATGCATTCACATGGGACCAGTATTCCTTGTGTTCAGAAGAACAAATTTTATTTATAGGAAGTAAACTTGAATATTATGAGTTGTTGATTTCTGGTTTTGTTCTCCCATATATAATATATCTCGAGGCTTCTGGTATAGACTCTACTCTTATTTTTATTTACTCAACAATTTTCTGATTAATTATGGAAACTGACTGTGCAATTATTTGTCCTATAATGGTGACTGTGCAA